AGTGGGTCAATTCATACGTATTCGTATAACATCTCAAAAGCAAGTTCTACAAGTCGATAATCAAGCCACATCGGCAATACCGATAACAGTCGATGATTCGGAACAGAAAAGTATGATCGATGGTTTCAATCGACAATCAGCAGCGCCGAGCACAAACGATTTATATCCAAAAAAGAATAGCAGCATCATTACAGGCTCAATCATGGAACAATTAGCCGGCTCAACAGCAGGAGGCTTAGATGAAAATGCTCTATCTGATCATGTTGAATCACAACAACGTCAAGAATTTATCGAGATATGGCGTGAATTACGTAAGCAGTATCCCAATCATGATATGCAGACCTTGAATGAAATGGCAGCAGTTGAAATGATGAATCGTGTACCCAAATCTCGAGGTATGTGTTTTTGTTCTATCTGCGAAAATAAACAGAGCCAGACAATAAGATTTTCTAATCTTGATTTTCAGCCTACTATCGTATTCAAGCAACAAAACGTCTCGGTGGTGGTGGTGGAAATATCAAAAAGAAATTATTAGAAAAGCTTCATGAACCAGATAAACTCAACCCGAGTGACAAACAACAACTAATTGCCGACACAAATTCGCACATCAGTAAGATACGTTTTGAACCAAGTCATTACACAGTCCTTGAAAATGCTGGTTACGTTACATTACACGTTGTTCGTGTCGACGGAAACTTGCGGAATACAGTTTATGTGGATTACATGACCGAAGATGGTACAGCAACCCATGGAGCTGATTACGAACCAGCGGAAGGTACATTGATATTCTATCCAATGGAAACAAACAAACAAATTCAAGTGAAAATTATCGATGATGAAATATTCGAAGAAGGTACAGAGATCAATTGTTCGTCAGGAAATCTGAAAGGTTTATTGTAACTCGTTTCTAGATGAACATTTTTCGGTGAAACTAAGTAATTTGAAGATTAAAGACAATCAAGGACGTTTAACTCCCGGCGCCTTTGATAAAACCGTACAGTTAGACGAACCATCGACAGCAGTTGTAATGATTATCGACGATGATCATTCCGGTTTATTCGTTTTTGATAATGACGAAAAAACTGTTGTAGAATCGGATCGATTTGCTGAATTGAAAGTTCTTCGAACATCAGGCGCCCGTGGTCGTGTACGAGTCCCGTTCACCACGGAAGACGAAACAGCTTTGAACGAACGCGATTATATATCAAAAACGGACGAAATCATCTTTGAAAACGAGGAGAACGAGTAAGTCGCACGAGCACGGTTCTTTGTTCAAGTTATTTTAATCATAGAGCATTAAAAATAGATACAACTATTTCTTGTCAACATAATTCAGTATTCATCGATCGGACTTCGATCGGCTAATTGCATCGTTGCCGAAGGAGATTCTCTTTTCTAACACTTACATCACCGATTCTAATCATAGAAATAAATCATCAACAGACTGCATTATTGTCTGACTACACGCTTTGACATGCTTGTCAAATTATGTTGAAAGTTTTTTTCCCCCTAGTCGACAAGAGTTTCATATCTATCAAACCGTTCTATATAGAGAATGAAATACAAAAAAACATCGATGTCAGCCGACAAAGATAAATGAAGCTTGATTAAAATTGTGAATAAAAGACTGTATTTGCTGTCCTTGATCATGATTTTGAATTCAATGAAGTTCTATTTACGATCGCGTTTTATCAAATGCAAATAATTAACGATCCCCAAACTTGTTTTTTGTTTATTATCAAGGACACGACGACTTCGCCCTATTATTATTTCGTATGCATAAGTCAGTAGTTGGAATATAAGAACACAGTTTCCTGATTGTCAATTAGCAGATCTCATATCTTCTTCGATTGCTTTTTATTTGTCCGTCAACCATATGTCTCCCAGATTGAAAAGAGTCCAAACTGATAATTGCTTGTGAATTGCTAAAAGACCACTTACTAATTAATATCTCTTAAACATCATTGACTTTGAAACGATATGTGTTGTGAAAGCCTTGGCGTCGGCGTGTTTATCGTCATCGAGTGTCAACTCTGTTCGTTTTTTTCTAGGAAAATAATCTCGATTGAGATCATTGATCGCGATCAATATCAACGCAATGAATCATTTCTGATTCGATTAGGTGAACCAACCTTAATTAAAGACGACGAGAACAGCGATGATTCGCGTAAGCGATGAAATAACTCGAGCATGATTGATTTCTTTGTTTTTTTTTATAGCTATGACAGATCATGATAAACTAATTGCCGAATTAGGAAAACCAAGATTAGGCGAAAGAAGCGTTATTCGCGTTCGTATCCGCGAAAGCAAAGAATTCAAGGTATGGAACCGTGATTTTCTTTCTTCATTAACTAATGTGCTGTTTTCTCGTGTAAAGAACGCAGTTGACAAAGCTTTGTACAAAGCGAATACGGCCATACTCGTGGGTACATCGACATGGTTAGAACAATTTAAACAGGCCTTCAGCGTCAAAGGTAAATCGAACGCATTCGAATAGAAAAAAAGCTAATCTGTGATTTTGATTGTTTTAGATGAGGATGATGATGATGTTGTCGAGTCAGGCGAAAGCAATAATGATGAAGATCAACCGGCAACATGTAAAGACTATATGTTACATTTCATTTCATTTTTCTGGAAATTTTTATTTGCATTCGTACCACCAACGAGTAAACGCATTGTTCTACAAATACGAGAACTTCTTATTAACATTTCCTTCGTGTTCACCTAGGTATTGCTGGTGGTTGGCTATGTTTTATCGTCTCAATTTTAATCATCGGTATGTTGACAGCGGTCATCGGAGATCTCGCGACACATGTACGTTTAGTCTGCTTGATACATACGCTCTCATAATTTATTTTGATCTAGTTCGGCTGCACTGTTGGCCTCACAGACACAATGACAGCTATAGCTTTTGTTGCTCTAGGAACATCGTTGCCAGGTGGGAATGTGATGAATATAATATTAGACTAATACTCTTTATTGTTTTCTCAGACACATTTGCCTCGAAAGTTGCAGCAGAGCATGATAAGTACGCGGATAGTTCCGTGGGAAATGTCAACGGTTCGAATGCTGTAAATGTTTTTCTTGGCATCGGTTTACCATGGGCGATGTCAGCATGGTACCATTACTTCAAAAATACGAAGTTCAAAGTGGAACAAGGCTCCCTGTCATTCAGCGTGACCTTGTTTTGTTCATTCGCAGCTGTTGCGGTTATTATTCTACTAATAAAACGCTTAAAAGTTTTCGGTGGCGGAGAATTAGGTGGTCCGTTGAAATATCGTCTTATCTCAAGTTTCATATTTCTTCTGCTTTGGATTGTTTATTTAGTATTAAGTGGACTCGAAAATTACTGTCATATTAATTTGTAAAAACATTTGATGTCTTTCCGTTAAATACGTTTATTTGTCGATGTGCCTGTGTGTATTTTTTTTTGTGTCTCTTTTACAGAAAAACAATAAGAATAAGATTAATAAGAAGAATAGAACAGAACGGTGCACGGAGAAACGGTTTTTATTGTTATTGCAGAATCGATAGCGGTTGACTACGAGCGAAGGAGTAGGATGAAGGACAAGCTGGTTGTTTTCGTCTACTGAATGAAAATTCGACTTGAAAGATGATGTGATGATGGATCCCATTAGATTAACTAGACTGTCTTGCGGACCCCAAACGTTGTTACAACAAAGAACATTTTTGTTTATCGCGAAATGGATTGTCTCTAGGTGATGAAAATCCCATGACAAGTGTGTCGGTTGTTTGATGATCTGTAATGTAACGAACAAGATCTTTACATACAATCGAGACTTTTATCCGATCACGTTTGGCTTCTTCACGTAATTGTTCGCATAGACGATGTTGAGCAAGATATGCAGTTTGGGTATGATCTAAACATGCGAGAAAAAACGAAAGGCTCATCTGTTTCTTGGATGATGAACAAAATCCTTCTGCTCTATGTAAAAGTCATTTATCGTGACATGAACAGAATTTGTCAACGTCAAACTTGATGAGTCTCCGTCATTTTATGAATAATTTCTTCTTCGCACGATCAAGTCAGGAATATAATTCATAGTTCGCAACTTCGTAATGACACTTACATTCAGGTGTATATGAACGCGATGCGGAAAAGTTGTCTGATACACATCGATTTGGAATATGATCATGATTTGAAGATAATTGAGTAAAAGCACCAATGCTGTTAATATGTAGGACTGACATTCGAACGATTTCTCGGCTTTGAATAAATGATAATTAATCAAATTGTGTACTTCGCTGGTTTTGACGCGGAATGGAGTTTTTGCTTTCAAGTCGAGAATCGTAGTTGATCATGTAAATTAACATAATTATCTATGATGACCTCAATGGACTTTGTTATTCTTCTATAGACTGCAAGTCTCAAATTGCAACGAGTTAGCAGGAGAACAGCGAATGAAGAAAGAAATCTCGAAAAGAAACGATAGAAAAAGTTAGTTGTTTTTCCCTGTCATTTCCCGTTTTTCTTTTTGATGTGCCAATGAATCGACGCGTTTCTTTTCTTTCGTCGAAATTGTCTTAAGACAAACATACTAATAGAATCAACGTTTGTCTTTAGCCATGCATGAAACATATATTGAAGTTCTCGAATAATTCTATTAATGAACAGAACAGAATAACTTGATATTAGCGTGAGGAATTCAATTCCATCTTCACATTGTCAAGTTTAATTAACATCAATTGGCCCGTAATTCGTTAGTTTTCTTTTCGATTAGGACATTCAAGGGAAAACAAATCCAAATTCGATTACGCATTGATCAACTTTTCCGTAGGAATAATGCCGATGCAGACAGTAGAGGTGGGTCAATGTTGTTTGATAGAAATTTTATACAGTTATTTATTTGTTTTAAATTCATTTAACACAATGAGCAACAAACAGAAAACAAACAAACATAGAACAAGTGTGTGTATGAATGACTGACTAGAAAGGAGATTCGTCATGAAATAGGCTTTTTTTTCCTGTACATTCAATATCGATATATTTAGAGAAGAAGAAAAGGATTGGGAGGATTGATAACAAGGGGAAATGATTTCGAATACTAAAAAAAAGATGAATTTGGTATGAAAAGTTAAGATTGAGGTGGAGCTGGTTGGTATTGTCCTTGTTGGTATGATGTGTATTGAGGTTGCATCATCATTCGTGGTTGATTTTGCCATTGAGGAGGTTGTGTTTGTTGCTGCATGTGATAATTCTGTTGGGGATGGTACATAGGAGGTTGTTGAGGCTGACCGCCGTAATTGTTGTAAGCCATTTGTTGTGGAGGCGGTGGTTGCTGTTGCTGTTGTTGATTGGAAACTAGATTTTGTGTATTAGTGGCTTGAGATGGTGAACTTGATGATGAAGGTTTAGGTGAAGTAGAAGATGGAATAATTGATTGTTGTTGACCATTTAATGGGGAATTGGGTTTAGCAGTTTGATTCGGAGGAACAGACATTCCTGGATCTGAAAAGTGGGATTTTCATAGTAGTACATAAAGCAAGACGTTTATAATTCTTCCTTACTTTGCTGTTGATGATACATGGAATAATGTGGCTGTTGTTGTTGCTGCTGCTGCTGAGGCATACCACCATTAGGATGGTGACCGTATCCATTTTGTTGCATTTGATATGCATGCTGCTGCTGCTGCGATGGTTGTTGTTGAGGCATATATGCTTGTTGTCCTTGCATATATGAAGAAGGCACTTGACCGGTCGATGAATGATCCATACCAGCGCCATTCATCATTCTACTTTGCTGTGGCATCATGGGTTGAGCAGATAGATAAGGTCGTTGCTGCTGTTGTTGTTGTTGTGACATCGAAGGTAGATGCGCTGATGTTGGTTGTGGGGTTGGGGCCTTGTTCATAACTGAATTTTGTGGTGAAATCGACGATGTCATCGCACCGGAAGGAGAAGGTGATGGTGCTGAATGCGCCGGTGATCGTTGTTGTTGAAGAGAAGGAGCCAAAGACGCGTTCGTCGAAGGAGTATTCGATGGTGGATAAAGACCACCACTAGTATTGGCATGTGGACTTTTGTTCAACGTTGACGAAGGAACATTCGACGGCACTGGGCTATTCGTTTGGGTTCGATACACTATAAAATAAAATAAATAATTTTTCATCCAGACTACGCAAATTTAATGAGAAAAATAATTGTGACGAAAGTGCCGAGTTGATTTGTAAAATAAAAGATTCGACATGCTATTTAAATAGTGAAAATATAGTGCTTAACGTAATCAGCAATAGTCTATCGTAAAACTCCATCGAATAGCCAATCTAACGAAATATATTACTTTGTTCTGAACTTGATGGTGGCACACCCATTTGATTTTGTTGCATCATGTTATTTCCCTAAAATAGAACGTCATCTTCGTTTGACTATCTTTCATATCGTTTACCATCATCATCGGCTGTTGTTGTTGTTGTTGTTGCTGCTGTGGTGTTTGCAAAAACGCTTCTGGTGGCTAAAACATCACGAAAACGTCATACTTTAACATTCTCTCGAACAATTCCAACGTACAGGCAGGTTATTTGGATGATGTGACTGTGTCATATCGAACTGCGTAAGATACGTTAGATTTCGATGCAATGTACGTTGGTACCTATATGAACGGATGATTTATGATGATAGTTGTCGAAATTCATGACATACTCAAGGCAGTCTGTTGGTCTTCCTTTGGATTGTAAGTCGATGATCATTGATATTAGCTGAGAATTGTCATCAAGTAACTGGAAAAGAAAGAAAATGAATGATCAAGAAGAAACTCGACTGGCGAATATAAACCTTTTGAATTGTTGGTTTTTGTTGTTGCTGAGGCATTGGAGCCATTTGCTGTTGAGAATACATGTTTGAAATCATGCACAAATAACTGAGATTAGGATAAAAAACAAGAAGTTCAAAAGAAAGAAAGACATGAATTATTCACCAATGGTTTTTTTATGATGTAAAATACGAAGAACAAAATTCAACAAAATTGATCGATTTTATTGAGAAATAAGTTTCAGAAAATATTTTTTGCGTTATTTAAATTCTCAATCGTGATATAGATGTCGCTGGTGTCACCAATGAGATCATTTTTCTAATTGACAAACAAACAACCACTCAGTTTTCGCGTCGTTTGATTAAATAAAGATTCAACATCTCAAACTAAATTAATACTAATAAAAACAATAAATATTTGTATAAACGTTTCTTTGAAAATCAGATTTTGAGCCAGTGACAATACTCTGAATCAGTTATTCTTACAAATCCTCACGATTGAACGTTAATAGAATGAAGTAGCACTTGTATTTATAAGCGATAATCATTTCAATTAGATATTTTATATGTACTAATTCAATTATCGTCGATTGAATCGTGCGCATTTTCTATACATCGTTTAAGAATTCAAGTATAAACTCTTTTCCTTTCGAATTATTAAACCAATCATGGATAATTTTCTTCTTAACTATTCTGTTTCAGATGTTACTCCGTCTGCTTGCTTATCCTCGGTTACATCTACCGTTGTTTTATCAGCAGATCAAAACTCTTTCAACAGCAACATCTTCAAGTGTGACAAAACCGTATCCGAGTTACGTCGAACGTCAAATAACGATTAACGTGAACACCTCACCAGGTGATGAATTCATAGAAATTGATCAAGAGACAAAAGCGAAAGTTGCTAAACCAGCAACATATATTCGTTCGACTGTCAACTATGTAGATACAAATCCGTTAGGAGATAAGAATCAACCGATTGTCCTACTGGTACACGGTTATCCTGGTACACATGAATCCACAAGAAATCTTATAGAAGAATTTCAACAACGAGATTTTCGTTGCATTGCTCCTGATATGCCTTGTAGGTTGACGCATGTGCAAATTTCTAAGAACTATTCGTCTGTTTAGATTGTGGCAAAACTAAAATGCCACTTTGGGGTACGTTATTATGGGGCAACTCAGTCTTTCTACGAGGAAGATTTCTCGGTGAATTGCTGAAAAGCATCATGGGAAATAAACTATTGTAAGACGACTATTCGTTTTTTTTCTTACTTTTATTCAAACATATGTTTCCTTAGACCGATTCATACTGTTGTCGGTGTGCATGAGAATGCCTTTGCATTAGTCTCACTGATTGACCAATATGAATATTTTCGTTGTAAATCATTGATAATGATTGATCCAGTGCCAAGAAAACTTCTTCGGTAGACGAATTGATTTTGCGTGAAAAATAGAATAAATGTTTGGTGTGATTTTCATAGATTCTTTCCCTTGGCAAAACTTGTCTTCGATTTCGGTCGGCTTCCACTCCACTGGCCAATTGCTAAGTTTCTCCTTCAAGCTCTTGGTTATAAAGATCTACTAAAATACTCTCAGCAAGATATCATGGGTGCTTTGCGTATATGGATGTTAGAAAACACGCGTGAAGTAAGATATTTGCATATATTTTCAATCAATCTTCGACTCTTTTTTAATTTATAGTATGACGCGTATATTCATAATCTATGGTTATCTCGATTACGGACAATGATGGTTGTCTCTGATGAAGATAGATTTTTAAATAGGAAGTTATTGGATGAATTGATCAAAGATTTAGCTGTCGAACCGTTCAATAAATGTAGGTGAGAGATAGATAGACTAGGCCACATACGTTTAGACCACTTATTGAGGACTCGAATACGAAAAACTTTGGGACACTGAGTAGACAATTTTGACACTTTTGTTTAATGTCTGCAAACTGTGCGCATCTATTCAGTCGAATAATGAACGAATTCTAGTGAAGTCATACTTGATTCACTCTATTGAATTGTTGTTTCAAATCAGCAGAAGACTTTTTCGAAATCAGATTAGCTTTAATCAAACTCATGTAACACCTTTGAAGTACCATTAAATGAATAATGTGATTAGCGTTTCTCTTATCCATACAAATTCAATTATAGTTGATAACGAACCAACTGACGAGTCTATGCTTAAGTCAAATGAGACAACCAATGCTCCCAGTAGACACCATACAGTACCTCAGGCGTTTAAGAAGTCGTGTGACATCCATTACAGTAGTATGGAAGAATGTCAAGTTGAACTATGCGCTATCTTCACTGTTAATTTCCTTAATATCACTACAAATGTGTTGTCTTTTTCTTTGTAGCAAACATCGCAAACGCTGTGATTAGAAAATATGCTTGCAATCACGATGAGTTACTAACTGATCGCGTCAGTCATGTTGCTGATGATATCGAAACATTTGTCTCGGCGACGCTTAAATCACCAGCTGCGACCTTGTATGTAATTATATGATTTCTTTGCTTTTCGATTTGACGTTGTTTCTCCTTCTATGCTTTGTTTCGATCTCATCAGAGCGCAATCGTATACATCGACAATAACAAAGGAGAAAGAACAAAAAAAGCCTATCAAAACTATTAACAACCAACAAGACGGAGCAAAAACTGAATTAGATGAAAATTCATATAGGCGTGCGGCGGCGAATGACTTTTTCTCTCAAGCGTTTGGTCCAAGCAAGTCCGAGTTGAAACCAAATCAACCGCACAGTATACGTTCAGCATTCGAGGCAGTTGCGAGCGGATTTATTCAAAAACTACCACCCGGCACAAAACGCGAAACATTAGAATCAGTCAAAGAACAGATGAGAGAGAAAAATATTCGCATAGAAACGAAAAGATGATTCGATACATTTAAATAAATAAACGTGAGACTGACCATTTTTCTCTTGACATTCATCATCTTAAACTATGTGACGAAAGGTCATTGATGAATCAACATCTTCTCATTTGGTTTCTTTCAGATGTATTCATCACTTGTCTACTATTTTATGTACCGTCGTCGAAATAAATTCATTATTCTGTTAGTGATCATATTCTGCATCTTAGTCTTTTTTCATTCGACTTCTCGGCAGAATTCGCCAAGAACTAAGAAGAGTGTTAACGTGCTTCAGAAATCGATTAATGGAAAGAAGGTACGTGTCAATCGAGATACGTACACAACACCAGAACCATGTCATGGATGTCCAGGTGAAAATGGTCAAGGTGTACAGTTAACGGTAATAGTGGCAAAAGGAAGAATTGATTGATTGGAATGGTATCTTTTAGGCAGAAGAATCAGTTGGTTTAGATGCAGTGATGAAAAAGGAGTTTTTCAATTTACGCGCAAGTGAGAAGATTTCACTATGGAGATCAATACCAGATACTCGAGATTCGATGTATGTTTCATAGAAGAATGTTGTCTGTTGAATGAAAATCTTTTTCTCTGCAGGTGTAAATCCGTCGAATATCCACCAGATTTACCAACAGCATCAGTAGTAATAGTGTTTAAGAATGAGCGATGGTCACCGGTACTTCGAACAGTTTATTCTGTCTTGAATCGATCGCCGAAGCACTTGCTCAAAGAAGTCATTCTAGTGGATGATCAATCAGATATCGGTAGGATGAGAAGAACGAAACCAGTCAATTTTCGACAATAAAATGATTTATTTTCTAGAGGAGATGGGACAACGTTTAGACGATTATTGTGAAGAACATTTTGGTGATCTAGTGCGGATCTTACGAGCACCAACACGGCTTGGACTAATCAAAGCGAAGAACTACGGTGGAAGAAATGGTCAGTCAGAAACGTCGGAATCGTAAAAGACAATGTTTTTCCTTATTTGTAGCCACTGGCGATGTGGTCGTATTTCTCGATGCACATTGTGAAGCGAATACTGGATGGTAAGTAGATCGAATCTTGCTGCTATAAATACAATTCGCAGGATCTAGGCTTGAACCATTAGTATATCGTATTAAACAAAAGCGGACAGCCATCTTATGTCCTATCATTGACTTGATCAATGCTTTTGCCTTGTCGTACAATTCGGGTCAGCCGAATTCGATTGGAGTGTTCACGTGGTCACTTCATTTCAGTTGGTCGGGTATTTTTCCACGACTTCTAAATACACGACAATCAAGAATCGATCCTATCTCGTAGTTGGCGTTTGATTTTTCGAGTTATTCATTTGCTTTGTTTTACCTTTTTATCCGGTGACTGGTTATTTTGATTTTTATAGGTTAGAGCCGCTTTTATTACGAATTAAGCAAAAACGTTCAGCTATTCTGTGTCCTGGTATCGATATGATTAGTGATAGTAACATGGGTTATGGTGTAAGTAGATGTGTTGACTACGAGATCATTACAGAAAGTATCATTTCGGGGTTTTTCAAGGGTACGGGTGACGGAAGCGTGGGCGGATTTTGGTGGTCATTACATTTTAATTGGATTCCAGTTCCAGCACGAATACGAAATGCACAAAAATCGAGGATCGATCCCTACCCGTGCGTGATTCTTGCATTGCTTTCTTTCTAACATAGATATTTGATCAGTAGCTTTATTTGTTTGTTTTTTGCGTTGCAGATCTCCAACTATGGCTGGTGGTTTACTAGCTGCTCATCGAGAATATTTCTTCGAGATTGGTGGTTATGGTAAGTCATGAAATCTGAGATTTACACCAAATGTTAAGATATTCTCTTATTTTCGTTTAGACGATGATATGGAAGTAAGATTCTTTGATTTCTTTTTCGTACCTATTAGATGAGAGAAGTATACGATTGTAATGGGATATCTTTCTCTATTTTAGTGGGAAAATTGTCATACTTCGATAGATTCATTTTACATGCCTTGTAGGTTTGCAAAAATGTCTTGCAGTTCAGCTAATGCATGAGTCTCTCACACAGTCCGTTTGGACGATGTTTTTATTTTCGAAGCACAATTATAAAGCGTTCGATTGAAAAGTTATTAACGAAATATTGAGTATGACCGCATGTTCACATTTGCTTCAGAAGCCGGTTTTTGTCTCATTTATACGAAGATTTACAGCATTTGCATAACGAATAGTTTTTTTTTCTGCATACGATCGATCTATTTCTTAGGTGTGGGGTGGCGAAAACTTGGAAATTTCCTTTCGTGTTTGGATGTGTGGTGGTAGTTTGGAGTTTGTACCATGTTCTCGCGTGGGTCATATATTTCGTCCAGGTCATCCGTATAACATGACTGGAGCGAAAGGTAATTCCATTCGTTTACTTTAAAAAGCAACCGACCGTTCTGTTTCTCTTAAAGGAAAAGGTGATGTTCACGGTCGAAATTCGATGCGGCTCGCAGAAGTATGGATGGATGATTATAAACGTTTTTACTATATGCACAGACACGACCTGAAGGTAATTGGACATCATGAGTTGTTAAGTAGAAAAGTCTATGGAGTGTATTTTGTTTTTGAAATAGGGTAAAGATTATGGTGATGTAGAAGATCGTCGAGCAATAAGACAACGTTTAAATTGTAAATCATTCAAATGGTACTTAGAGAATGTCTTTCCCGAAAAGTTCATTCTCGATGAAAATGTTCATGGTTTCGGAGAAGTAAATCAAACGAAAACGAATGAAATTATTGAATGAAACAATTTTCTTTTCAGCTCCGAAATCCTGCATCGAGTTTATGCTTAGATACTTTAGGTAAAGACGAAAAAGGTTCGTTACAATTAGCAATATTTTCTTGTCAAAATGGGGCCTCAGCCAATCAATATTTTTCTTTAACAAAAACGGACCAATTACGCCGTGAAGATACATGTGCACTGATATCTGGACGTGGGTCAGATGGTACAGGTGTAATCCTATCGCAATGTGATTATTCTGATCAAAGTCAGAAATGGACGCATGAAAAGGTAACATTCATTGAAAAAATATGTCGCTCTCTACATAAACTCCGTCTTTTTCCTTAGAATGGAACAATTGTTCATCATCCAAGCGAACTGTGCTTAGATGTTGAAGGTCTTGCTAACAATGATCAAGTAAAATTAAGAAAATGTCAACCGAATAAACGATCACAACAGTGGCTATTCGAACATTATGCAACAACTTAGTATAATTCCATTGCACCGTCCAATAACCTATTTATAGAGAATTCCATCTTCATGTTTAACAACAGTGCTGTAACTATTTCGTGATAAGCAACTTTTATCGATGCTGTTACTCTTTTATCTTTTTTTCTCTTGGCTCTATTTGTTTTGTTACTATTATCAATTAAATTATAATAATCTTTCTACTAAAAGCACATGATGTCGTTGTTTGTGTCGAGGGCTCGACTGTTTATCTAGAGTGAAATGCAGAATGTTGATTATTAGATATTTATATGTATGTATACGAACACATCGAAGGAAAATTGCATTGCACGCATTCGAAAGACAGAAGCAAGGAGAGAAATTCAATATTCAACATTGATTACATGTCGAATGGAACGAATATAAACACACACACAAGAAAGAAAACCAGAGAAGGTGAACGAATTTGTATGTTTCTTATTGAGCATCATGATAAATTGAGAATATGACGTCACCGGAAATGGAATGAATTCAAAGTAGATGAGAGAGAGAGAGAGACGAAGAAAACAAAACTATTGATTTGCGTTTGCTTCCACCAGTGGTAAGGAAGGTTTTATGGCGGTGACTTGACAATGTTCCAGTTTGTCAACTTCGCTAAATTCACCTCGAACATCTTCACCAATAGAATTGTTGGTATTGTCGTGCTCTTCGCTAACGCTTGGTGCCGCTGGTATTGAAGGTCTAAAATAATAACGAAGAAAAAAACGTTAATTCAAACTTGCTATTGCCAACGAGAGTGAAACTAAGCATAGGAAGGAAATGGCAAATCCACACAGAGAGTATATCTACCATGCTTAATTAAATACTCGTATCATATACATGTCAATGAGTCTATTGAGTTTTTCGTTTTATTGAAAAACATTCGAATATATCGATGAGAATAAACTTACTTGGTCGTTGTGTTAGTACTATTTTCCGGTAATGAATTTGATCGACTGTTTGATGCTTCTTCCAAAGCGGTTGTGTTCAGAAACGTTGGTTGGGATAATACACTGAAACAAAAGAACGAAATGAACGCTATGTCAGAGAAAGATATTTTTCGTGCCTGTCATTCGGTGTGGTGTTAGAATCAGAAGTTTGAGAAGTTAGTGAACTAGATAATGGAGTCGTTGGTATACTTGGTAACTTTGAAATCGGTATTCGGGGTGGAATGGGCGGTGCCGCACCGTGAGGTAATGGCGGTGGTACCGTAACTTGAGGAGGCGGTTGCGGCGCCGGACGGCCCTTCTAAGATAGAAGAAATGAAATACTCATGAAGACAAAGTATATCACAGAAAGAAACATACCGCCGATGTTGTTCGTTTAATAGAATCTTTATTGCCTATCGGCAGTGTCTTATTATGCATAGCATTCATATCCGGTGATGGTGGTGTAGCAGGAGATACATCTGGACTAGTCAAATTTAAAGGTGTATTTGATGACGGAGATGGCATTGTTGATGATATTGAACCTTGTCGACCAGAGAAGACACCGAAGATTTTAGAAATACTACGTTTTGTACGGCCAGCGGTTGTACTCGTATTGCTCGTGGTTACATTGAAACCATTGTCATTACGTAGAGTAGAACGTTGTTCAACTTGATGACTGATGCTTTCAACATCAGTTTCATTCGTTGCACATTGACTCATGCATAGTACTTGGGAAAGTTTCCTTAATTCTTCACGTTTCAATCGTTGTCTTTGTTCGGCTACTCGACCACGAAGGCTGGGTGCTTCAATCGCTGTATGTACTGAATTGAGCAATAAAGTAAGAAAATACTCTCGAAATGAACTATCACATTGATACATTCCACCGGGTGGCTGAATTGATTTTGTCATATCGTTACGATGCCAAATACCAATCTACGAAAGTAAAAGGATCATTCGTAGTGACAGCAAGTTAAGTTTTCATCTTACTTTATAATAAACTTGTTCATTAATTCGATGTGGTTGGACAGTAATATATACTTGTGTGACTTTACCAGAAATGAAATCGGGTGAGAATTCCGCATTGGGCTCTTGGAAAACAACGCAAACGAAGGCATTGCCAACAAGCCCTTTACGTTCAATACATTGCCCATTGGCTTTTGTAGATGGAATCATCGGAGCAACATTGAACATAATTTCGTGATTTTTATACTGAGCATAATAAGAATGTTCTCCATGTAAATCATCTTTAGTATCAAGATCACCTCGATACTTCGTAAACCCTTTCAAACGTACACAATCGGCTAGGATTTGCAGGAAATTCAATAAATCGACAGATAAGAGATCATTACTGAAGATATCGTATTCCATCGTTTGATCTGAACGTTGATAAATAAGACCAATTTTACAGTTTTGTCTTTCGTCATTCAATTTATCGAACGCATAAATCTTTTCATTTGCCTGTTATTCAATTAATAGAAAAAAAAACGATATTTAATACAATCCTCGTTGAGCACTCTTCTCACCTATACTCACTTTTGGGTCGCCAATGGTTTTACACGTTTGAATTATGGATAGATTAGCTTGATTGAACAAGACTTGCAGAATATTTTCTTCATTAGTACTATCAACCAATACAGAAACATGATCGTTACGATTCGCTGTGCTAAAACAAGAAAATCACCATGAACGTTTTCGTTTTTCTGAAAATAATTTCTTCTTATGAACAAACAATCAGTACCTACCGAATAATTGCTCGTGCTTGACAATGTACATCGGTGTCATCGAATGATTTTATATAAAAATATCGTAACGACGCAATAAATGGTCCTTCTTGTTCAAATTCTCCACAATAATTTGTATGAAACTAAACAAAAACCACCCATCCTTTCCTTTCATTTGCACAGCATATAGATCTTCACTTACATATTCAAAGAAATATTCTCGGTAAATTTCTGCCACACATGTCGGTGTTTGTAACTCTAGTATGAGTGAATGAGCTGAGTATGGTTCATTCGAACTGATCTCATAACAGAACAACGACGTAGCAGATGAGACAGACGACGTCCGAGAATCTTCTTGTATAACTGAAGCTAACCGCTCGTTACTGACGGTTGAATTTGTTCGAGAGTGGTTCAATGCTGAATTGGATAATTTCTATAAGTAAAAACACGTCAATTCAATTTATTTATACACACATCCATCAACTAAATAATCGAGGTCAGCTGTTATATAGAAACAAACTTTTTTTCTTACTCTCATCTGTTGAAGAATTCTTTTCAAAGACAATACCGATTGATTTTCACTTTCGGTTAATAGCATATTTTCAATTGGACGAACTCATTTTCTATTTTTGTTTTGCATTGTTATATAGCATCATGTTATCTGTTTTCGGACATGACGTTATACAACGAAAACTCATCATATAGCATGACAAAACACTTCACTTACCATTGACGAAGGCAATTCGCTTTTTGTTGTCATCATATCGTTGTGATGTAACGAGGACATACTATTGAAAGAATTTGTTAATGTGCTTGCGTCGTCTCTAGAAGAAAAGTTTCTTCATATTAAAAAAAAACACGAGAAAATGATGAACACACACACACACGGGATATAGTGAAAAATAATCGAGTGCGTTTAACTCTCAGCTACTGATAAGAGAAGAAAAGAATTGTTAGTTTTCTAATGAAAACGGCGTTGTTTTAACAACGACATTGTTATCATCATCATCATCATCTGCTTTTTATACCCATCGTTATAGTAACTTACTTGTTGATGTTTTTGGAATGTTTATTAGAACGAAAAGGATTTGGAAGTAAGGCACTGAAGTTGATTTGCGACGTAGAGTTTCGTCGTTCAGAATTCTTGTTTTGAACTTGTTGAATATGTGCTGGCTTCAGTTCACTGAATCGTCGATTACGTTTGTGAGTCACTTGTTTGCATGTCGTGTATGGCATCGATGATAAATCTGTTAGAATATCGTCAGATATTTCTTCTTGACTCGATGCTGTTCGATGCATGGAATGTGTTCGTTGTTGTGAGCTTTTCAACGAAAGTCTGGAATACGGATGATTATCCGATTGTGAGAATGCCGAGTTCATGGTTTTTTTACGATAAATATTTGCTTTGCTCGTCGAATCGATGGACATAATCATAGGATGCAAAGATGCTTTCTAAAAGATATTTGTGACATCATATGAGTTCATAACGAGCAACATTTCCCTTTCTTTGTTAGTGTCAATAAAAGGAAATCTTAATGAGTTTTTCAGAAACGGTCGTTTGTCGTCAGAGAGAATTTTAAAGCAAGCTGAAATAATTTTCTTACGGCGTACTTGTCTCCATTACCGAAACTATCACTTTTTCTTCACATACACACGCACTTACCAGTCAATCGTTTGCTTCCCATATCTACAAGTGTTTGTAACGATGCGATTTCTAGTTTTTCATCAAAATAATATAGGAATAAAGCAAATCTTCTTTCTCTTTCTGTTTTTTTTTCTCCGCCCTATCCAGCAGGGAAAAAGAGAATAGGCCGCAAGCTGTATTTTTAATATATTTGATACATTCTACTCATATTACTCTCACTTGAAAAAAAAAACAACAACAACAATAAGAAACAAAAGTACACGAAAATGTCGAACATATTTCAATTTAACTTAATGTTAACTTCTCAACCGTTAATGATATGTACATACTAGCGATCATGTTCTGCTTCAATGATCATTCGATGATTAAAGTTCGGAGATGCATACGCATTGCACAGGTTCATAGATGTGACACTGGCAAGATCGACTTTGTATTTTTATAGTAAAAAAATCACTGAGGAGGTGTGAGTATATACATAGTTTGCTATTTATTGCACATTACGCTAAGAACCTTATCATAGGTAACATCGAAGGTAAACATGTACACCATGCAACTCGAGCTACTTAAATGTCCATTAGTCAGATGCGTATATTGATTTATTTTCGACGCATGAGAATTGCTAATCTGACTTTAAGGCGATAGAACGTATTTTTAGATTGGCTGTCAGGCATAGTACCGACAGTTGGTTCTTACTTCGAGACAGGTAATCTAGATGAGTGAGATGTTCATGATGAGAGAGCGAGAAGTGTTGAGATCGATAATGAAATGCTTGAATTCATCTAAAAACCTACGTTGTCCTTCTTCTTTTTTTCTCCATTTACATTATTTGTCAAGAACAGTTGAGAGGAAAGAGAGAAAGGTCTAGAGCCTTGAAACGTGTCACTCTATTGCAACAACTTTGTGATTGTTTGTCTAATTTCTTCGTCGCACTATTTGCACATGTAAAAAAGGTAAATTGATTTGCACAAAAAATTTCTAAATAAAGCATCGAAAAAAGCGAATTCAATTAGATATATGGCGTCGATTCGTTTTAAAAATAACAAAAATGAATTCGACATACGGAAATTACATTTCTCACCTGTTTTTTTTTGTCATTCCTCTTGCAAGTATCGTTTCATTAAGATTATTATGCAAATGTAACCTTTGGAATAAACTTCTCATATGGCTATACGTGAGTGTAAATCGAAATTGAATTTGAACGATGTCGTCAAACTGCTGGTAAGACTTATGGGACATTTACAGAGTATCCACGATACCACTCAGGATAATTAATCGAACTTATCCAACAAGACGTATTAAACATCTAAGCAGATTAAGATCAAAAGACAAAGTTGTCATACTGTGGGTATGGTTAATCTTTCTATGGCAAGAAATCAAAGATTTTTTTTGTCGAGTTCTTTGCATTAATGCACTTTTGTAATTAAACAATGATGAGAAATGACATTTACATTCGAACCAGATTTATTTATAGTGTAGTGGCATCTGTACTTCGCTCACAAGTATCACTTCATTTGATGAAGTCATAGAACTGGTGTTTACATAGCAATGTATTTATTTGGTCATATTTCAATTAGATTATTCGGAAAGTTGCCCTTGGATCAAAAAGAAAGCAACATCAGGTGATGCAGCAAACTGATCATTTGAAATCGATTCGTTGAAGGCTAGTGAGAGGAGAAAAACATTTTGTTGGAGATGTATATCCCCGTATGTTCCGGAAAATCGATTGATTGTGAAATAAGTATTACGCACATGTGTTCGATAAGCATCATTGTACAAGTCACGTGTCGTAGCACATCGATACACGTTGAGGATATACCGTGCACTTATTTTCTTTCGTCGAACGTTCAATGAGAGGAAATAGAATTGAAAAGATCAAGAGTATAATTGACATATTCTCAAATTTCAACTTAATTTGGTCTGATATAGGGTAAAAATGCGTGATAAACGTAGGCAAATAAACGTTCATTGCTGCAATTTTCTGCTGATAATAAAAAGCACAAAATAATAGATGAAATTTTCTATGGCAGACTATTATCAAGTATATTGCTGTGCTAAAATACGCGTTCATGGTAAATTATATGCTGCGGGTCAAAAGAAAAGTTCGGTAATACATTAGCGAACGACGATACTTATTTTTTTTTATCATTGAAAAGGAGAGTGTTCTACATATATTTATTGTCGTCATTCTTTTACAGTCTCCATCAAACAAAGACAGTAGCAGTATGTTCATCTGGTTCATACTGGCAGCCATTCATACCCAGCTGACGGCTGATGAATACCAGTCATTCTTTAATTTATCTGATTTAGGCCAACAGTTTTCGGCCGTAAATCAGCAAGCATTACTCCTGTCAAATATCAATGCAAATTCAATATCAACTTGTCGTCAAGCATGCCATGCAAATATTTATTGCCGGATATACGATTACGATGGACTAACAAAGCAATGCCGTTTATTTGAAGGCGACGTCAGTACAATGGGAATTATCAGTGCATCTGCTTCACCGTTGTCAACTGTTGGTCAGATTCAACTGAACAAAGGGCTGTTTGCTAGTAGTGGATTGTCCTGTTCCTTTTGTGCTAATAGTCGGTATTTGACTTGTGTTAATTCAACTTGTCAATGTTTAGGACGCACATATTTTGATGGCTCGATGTGTTGCAGTCAAAAGTTACTGGGCACTCAATGCATTTCGGAAACAGATTGTCGAAATGATTTGAATCTAACTTGTTTACCACGTAAACAATGTGGACGTGAGTACTCTGAAGGAAATTCTACACAGTTCGACTGTACAATGAGCTTCTTGTTTTCTTTGTATGTATTAGCAATATCGCTTCAATCTGGTATCACTGTTGCTGGTAGTTCAAATGGGTCGTCGGGATCGACAAATAATGCACTTTTATCTCCATTCGGTATTGCCATAGGAAACGATGATACACTATGGATCAGTGATGCTGGTAATTCTCGTGTGATGCGAGTGTCAGGAGGATCTTTAAACGGAACTATTATTGCTGGAACAGGAATTGCAGGCAGTGGAAGCACACAATTGAATTTTCCATCGCATTTATTCGTTGACAATGCATCCAATATCTATATTAGCGACACGTTGAATGGTCGAGTAATGCTGTGGCTCAATGGTTCTTCTTCTGGTTTTTCAGTCACAGGTACAACGCGTATAGCAGGAAGAACGATAGGACTAGCTGTTGATTCACAAAAGAATGTTTACGTGGCTGAAACAGATAATCATCGTGTAACTAAATGGACACCAAATGCTACAATTGGCATAGTAGTTGCTGGTACCAGTACTGTCGGGACCGACAATCAGCATCTTGCTTATCCTTTTGGACTTTATCTCGATGAACTGCATTCGTACCTTTATGTTGCTGACTATGGGAATAATCGTATACAAAGATTCATGCTTGGAGGATCATTAAACGGAACGACAGTAGCTGGTGGAAGTGGACAAGGATCGAACGATAGTCAATTGTATTTTCCTCAAGCGGTATGTGTATCGAAAAACACGGGCGCCATCTATGTTGCTGACACGTATAATAATCGTATTGTCCGTTGGAGCTCTGGTGCAACAAAAGGTGTCACGCTCGCTGGTGTTCCGGGAACATCTGCAACGTTATTGTCGGGTCCCGGTCATGTCGCTTTAAGCAGAAACGAAACGTATCTTTATGTAGCAGATCTAAATAACAATCGTATCCAACGTTTCGAACTCATTTAAATCCTCTACTTCCGATTTATATACAAAAGTTGAAAGTTGCTGATTTCCTAACGGTTTCTTCTTTTCTTTTCAATATATAGAAATAAATTAGAATATACCTTTGCTTCCAAATCTTAACAATGAGAAAGACACGCGCACACATTAGCACTTGGAAAAAACCGATCACAATGAACTTGAGGACAATAACAACAGAGACATTGAAAGAAAAACAACTGAAAAAATAATAACAAGCTAAACAAAAAAGGAAAGACATACAAGAAACGAAGAATCTTGTTTTGTTTCATTTAGACAAAAAAAATCAAGAGATTCATCAATTGAGAGTACTGTGTTAGACAAGACCATTGATCACTAAAAAAATAGAAATTCAGTGGATTAAGATTTTGTTTCAAAATTCAAGTTAGTAGAATAGTCACACACGATGAATAAAGTCAGTAAAACAAATATCAAACAACTCAATTTCTCCCCGTCGAACATGTCAAATCTACTGTATTCTTTTAAGTTAGTCGACTGAAAGCATTTTGTGTCCGGGAAGCCTAATACACACACACGTGCGCGCGCATATGATTCCGTTAACGACTGGTACTGCGGCGGCGACGAAAAAGTTTTTTAAATATATTTCCTATCGACAGAATGGTCAGAAGTTCGATCGAATAGTTCAGCTCGGCTCTTTCATACCTGGGCTTTTTGGTTTACTTGTTTGATGCCTATTTAATGTCGATGACTTTATAACTCGTGACGATGATGAAATATCACATACATCCATAGCTTCAGTTGTTGTTGTCGTCGTTTGACAATCAACAAAGCCTGCCGAGCCGGAAAGTTTTGAAATGAATCTTTGAAATGGAAAAAGATGAAACGAATATTGCGAAGTAAATTATCTGGAGAGACGTACGCTTGCGAAATGTTCTCGGACGACAACATGGTCTTCGGAGAACGGTAACCATTGCTATGGAAATCTTCAAAGATTGAAGGTGCAACATAGGTAAAACCCTAGACGATATGTCAATGCTCGAATTAAAGATCTCTCGAAAAAAAAACCTACTAGGAAAGCTATATCTGCACTTCTACTGATTATATTATCGTCAGGTGAATCAACAGGTGTTTGTTTAGTAAACTTCGTATCAAACTGGCTAACATCATCATCGCTGTTGAGCAGTGGTTTATGTGGTGGATCGGTGTGTTTTGCATAAACATTATTCCAGTTTAAATGACGGAAAAATCCGTGATTCTAAAATTCCAATCGGTAATAGAAAAGAGTATAACTATTGCAGAAGTGAACCAATCACTTACCTTGATTGCCACAGCATCTTCTGGCCCGCTACCAAGTCGATGACTAACTTGTCGACGAAGCAACTAGAAGAAAGGTGTATTTTATCATCTAGATAAAACTTGTTCGTGTAGTTCGAATATCGCACGATAAACAATATGTTGAATTGTTTCGTCTCTGTTCGATCCTATGCATTTCTTTTCGCTTGTTAATTTTCTCCTTCCTTATTTCATTTACTTCGAATAAGAAAGTATGAGTGCTTTGTCTCACAAGCGAATCTACAGTTCGTTGCATACTTACATTCCGAATCAATTCTCTTGCGTCCAGGGTCAAATATGGGGGTAGGATCAATTTAGCGTTGATAATTTTGTCCATTGTTCGCTTACGATCATCAGATGTGAATGGAGGCTAAATGCAATTCGCCAAAATAGATATGACAAAGAATACGAATTAGATACATACAGCACCCGTTAACATATCGTACATCAATGCACCAAACGACCACCTAGGGAATGTCAAGAATGTAACAATTCGATTAACGAGTTAACGAACCAATCAACGGCTTTGCCATGACCACTACGAGTTAAGATTTCCGGCGCCATGTATTCGATAGTGCCACAGAATGTATTCGTCTGTCCACCATCGTATATCGATTCTTTACACAAACCAAAATCGGTTAGTTTTACATGTCCTAAATCGAAGGAGAAATTGTGAATTTGAACAATACGAAGGAGTTAACAATACCTTCAGCATCAAGAAGAATATTTTCCGGTTTGAGATCTTAAAAATCAAATGCAATTCATCACCGATTTCAACACCTGGAGAAATCGTTCTCACCTCTAAAAAAGTCAACGATCAACATAGCTAAGTTCGCTTCAAGTGATAGACAAACCTATAAATGATTCCTTGTTTATGAAGATGTTCAATACCAAGCAGTATTTCAGATAGGTAGAAACTAAAAGCAAAAAATATATAATAAGAATTCCGAGCGTTTACATCTGTAAATTGCGTTTAGCAAATTACGTATCCGTACATTCCATTGATATCAGTTGTGATGCATTCTACTAGGCGTCTGACGTTATGTATATATTTATATCGCGAACAATAACGGACAAGCATAGCTATGCTCTATGCGTCTTAAAGGCATCGTTTCTTACCAGGCAACGTCATCTGAAAAGATTTGTTCACGTTCTAACTGCATGAATAATTCACCACCTGATAAATATTCTAAGATTAGATAGAGTTTGCCACCTGTTTGAAATGCGTAGATAAGATCGACAATAAACGGACACTAGGCGAAGATTTTCTTGTGAGTATTCAAAAGAAAAAGGTCGCTTAGTACTTTAACACATTCGAGAATGTTTCGCTCAGCTTTTGTATGTGCGGTGTCTTTTGCATTACGAACAATTCTATGAAAGCACGAACTAGATAAGCGTTTGTGTTAAATTCGAATATTTACTTGGCTTTTTTCAGAACTTTCATAGCGAAGATTTTATTTTGATGACTACCGGAAATCTTTCGCACTTGAAATACTTTCCCATATCCACCTTTTCCCAAGACTTTCAATAGCTGAAAATCATGTGGTGAGACGCGTTCTCCGCGTGGATTTACCGTTCGCTCGGTAATTTGAACTGTTTCTGTTTCACTAAAACAATGAAAACATATACATGAGAAACGAAATGGTGAACGGACTATTCCCCATTTACTTGGTTTGCAACGGATCAACACCGGTATCGTTGAGGATAAAACGATTATCATCATCTTCTTCGATATCGTTAGAAATGGTACGACCATCAGCTACCGTTTGAGGGTGATCATTGATTTCTATTGTAAATAGCGGTTCGTCGATCATTGTTTGAATTAGTTTTCAGGAGAAATAACGACAAAAAATCAGCTTTTTATATATGAAAAGATTTGTCAGTGCATAGTTGAGATTTTCTATGCGGAATTTAAATGCCTCGATTTGAGAAAAGAAATAAAAAGCAAGACAAGATAATGGAACTATTTCGTATTGGTTAAAGATTCATGCAATCAGAAATGCCATGTCAATGTCATCGTGTTAGAAACCGTTGTATACGTTGCCATGACAGCTGTATTAAAAATGGTGGATAAGTTTTTTTTTGTTGTTGATTTTATATCGAAATGAATTCCATGTAAGTTCTATCGAAGTACAAAGATTACAAGAGGTGAAGTTTTTAGGTCTGGACCTATCCTTGAGGGCGAGAAAAGAGAGACAATGTGCACGATTCTATCGAAAAAGTGAAGCAGAAAGGCTTTCTGTTCGGTTTGTCTTTCCATTTTGAGTTTGTTCTCGGTTTCTACTTTTATCTAAAATGAATGATTCCATTGTAAATGTCAGCAAGACTGAGTAAGTTTCATGGGCTATGAAAAGAAAATGCACTAACGGTCTAAGCAGAGGAGATTACTACTCAATAGTTGATTTTGTTTTTTTAGTCTTGCATAAAAGACGGATCTTCCTGATTAGAATAGCTGTTATGTGTCGAGCAGAACGTAAGGTGAAAGGTATCTTTAGATTTGGAAAGAAGCTTTCATGCAAGTATGATATATTCATGATTGATGAGTGTCATGCGATATAAGATCTTTTAAGCTTCAGCTTAATTCAAGTCGGATCAGTCGAAATGTGACGTAAATCATTCACCCGTTCATCAGGAAAGAAAAGATTCGTCTACTATTTACTCGAAAACGGCAATATTGACAATATCGTAGCACAGATACTTTTCTCGGAAAGTTTTCTTTCATCTATCTCGGTCAATATTTGATGAAAATAACATTTCCATTGTCAACATCACGATCTCTACTCGAAAAGCAAAGTTCTATAGAAATGCGCATGTTTCAACAAGTCCGCTATTTGAACAATCTATTGGAATGATTTTTATATTTCTAGATATCAAAAAAACTTCTGACGTGGGAGCTTAGAACAGTATTTCTAGATGTATGATCGAGCATCACGTAGTTTCAATCAAACAACAGGATGCACTTTAGATCATGTCGGACCCGGCACATACGATCACCAGAGGAAGCGAATTCAAGACGGTAGAAATAATCTAATTAACCTAATTCTGCCTCGACAAGAACCTACTTTCTTTTCCAGAAGGCTACGCTCCCTTTCTATCGCTGGCGAATCGTGGACAAATATTCTCGAACGATGAAAACCCTGGACCTGGCCACTATGACCTCCGTAATGCTCATGTTTCCAACGTTAAAGTAAGTTTTTCTTTCGAGAGAAATCACTTGATGACAATTTGCGAAGGAAGAGAGCATAGATAAGATATTTTCCTTTTTTTTTTCATTGGCATGAGAATGAGTGTTCTTTTTCTTCTTTGAAGTACGTGTCTAAAAAAGCTTTTAGTATCATCAACTATCATAGGTAGATTGAACGACGTAGGAGTACACTTGAGAAAATATCGATTTCAATGAATTTTCGTATTTCTTCTTTTTCTTTTATTGGGAGACGAAAAAAAAAGAAGATATTTTTGATTATTCAAAGTTGCATAAACGTTCAACGGATTGCGCTCGAACTTTTGCACGCTTGTGTTCATTAACATGCGGTTGAAGATCGTTGAGCAGTTCATCTGTAATTGCATACGTGAGAGCAGCACAATCGAGAAATGGTAAAAATGAATCAGCGGATTCGTACAGATTCAAATATTTCTCAGTAAATCTTTCTAATTCATCGTGTTCTTCTTGTGTCCATTGAGAATAATCCTTATTCATGAACTTCTGAAGAAATAAGCGTTTATCGACGTCCGTGACATGTTCACTTTCGAGGAACATGGTTTTCAAAAATGGCAAATTCCATTCGATTCTGTACGCAGGATCTTGATTCGGTGTATGAACAACGGTAAAAAATAATTTCAGTGGATTAATGCGACGTATGACACTGGCTTTCGGTTTGAGAAATGTTGCAAGTGATGGCGTGACGGACTCGTGGCGACGAAATGGATGTGCTTGAACACATGAATTAGAAAAGACGAATACGAAGAGAAGAATAACCACTGATGTGTGCATGATAATGAATGAAATATTAGGAGTAACTAACCGGATGTCTGTCGGTATTTGTTTGTGTATATGTGTCGATAGCACTCGCAAGTGAGAATGTGTGAAAAGAGAATGAATAGAAGTCGTTCTTCAAACTTCTCTAGTAAGAAAGAGCGTAAAAAAGGACATACAAAAACGAGAGAAATGAGAGAAAGTGTTGAGCTTGCTTTTATACACTTGAAAAAGAAAGAAGATTCGACGTAAATTATTATTCGATAAAATATTTTCTTCTGACGACGTCACATCCTATAAGGATGTTGTTTCCCAAGTTTGTCAAGACGATAATGTGATTCAGTAGATAATAATTAAGTGAAGTATTTCATCATCATTATCATCATCATCATCGAGATGTACGTCACTGAAATTCTCACGGAAAGTTCTCGCACAATTTGCAGAATAACCCATGATTTTCTCTATTGATTGAATAAAAACAAGACAGGTTTTTTTCTATCTGTTTTCTTTATCTTCAGTCAGATTACAATTCGTCGAAATATTTCAATTGGTAATCAAATAAATTACTATTGATTCTAGCTCCTTCTTGCTATAGCTTTAATGATGATTTTTCTGATTACGAATAACATTAGCATGACTTCATTTTCCCACGCAATTTTTGTCCTTTCAGGGAGGAAGTACACTTGCCAATCGAGCTAGTCGATTCAGCTCGAAACTAACCGAAGATACACCAGGTATGGAAAAGGTCTTTCACTAAATGCGAGTTTCCACTCGAATATTTTAGGACCGGGCACATACGAGCTTCGCAAAAGTCAATCCGCTCGCACAACTGCCGCAGATATTAATAAAGTAACAAACTACTACCAATAATTGGATTTGACCTTTAGAGAGTATATTTTTGTATACTGTAGCAGCCACGGCAAAATTTAGTGAAATATAATCGCAAGTCTCTTCCACCTTCAATTCCCGATCCGAAATTTGCCTACGGTTTCGAAGAAGATAACACTGGTATCTTAGTTCCACAGAAACCTCCGACAAGAGATGGTTCCCTTGGACCAGCTTTTTACAATCCACCACCAAATGTTCGTTGGTTTTTCGAATTTAACTTAATTGAGAAATGTTTCTTTCGTTTGTATCAAACAGGTTGAAGTTGACGCAACAAAACTCTATCATGGTGTTCATTTTGGTAAATACTCAAGTAAACGTACAGATTTTGCAGGCAAGACTGGTCCTGGTCCTGGTGAATACGATCCAAGCGATCCGGTTAAACTCGAAGTGCATCATATGAATATGAGAGCAGTCGATCGTCGACCAGAGTTGCAAGTGGCACGGTATCCTGAAAACATCCTTAAAGTAGCCAATAAAGAAGTCTGTATTCTTTTCGTATAAGAAGACGGATCGATTCTATATACTGGCCTTATTCCTTCTGTAGAGTGTCCCGGGACCTGGTCAATACTCGATTCGACGTGATTTAGATCCTGAGCAAGCAAAAGGAGATATCATTGGTTTAGAATTTGAACGACCACCATTTGGTTCACAAAGTAAAGTAAGAGTGTCTTGTAGAAACATCGTTTTTTTGAACGCTAGCTGACTTTTCGCTCTTTTCTTAGCGATTTGATAGTGTAAATTCGGATGTTCCTGGCCCGGCGGCGTACACTGATAAATACATGTCTGCATTTAATACTTCCCAATCGAAACCTTCCAGTTTAAAACGAAACCCTTTCAACCAAACGTCAGCCAGATTCGTGAGTATCGACTACAAAGCAAGAAGTGCTCCCGGACCTGGCCAATATCGCATTCCTGGGTTTGCTGATGAAAACCTACGAAAAGCAGTCGTGGAAAACGGTAAAAAGCCACCCTTCAATGTCGCCTCTGTACGAGGATTGAATATGGCACGGAAAGATGAATACAATGCACCAGGTAAGCCATCTATTTTATATCACACCAATACACTTCTTGTTGTCTAGGTCCAAGCAGTTATGATATTAAAACAACGCCATTTAAATCCAAAATTGAGCATCCTACTGCTAATTTTTCGTCGACAACCACACGAGAACTTATTGTTGAAGTAAATAGTTCTTTCTAACTAAGATAGCAATCTATAGTTGATTCGCTTTCAAGGACATTCCCGGCCCAACAGCATACGATGTTTCACGCGCCTATCATGCACTCACATCGTCTCATAAGCAAGGACCACGATCTAAGAATGCTCGCAAACGTCATGGCCAATTTCTAAGCGCAGCCAAACGCACATTTGCTGGCGATACCGCAAATGACACACCTGGCCCAGGTGCATATGACGGATATACCACTGAACATCCGCGGGGTGTTGCACCACCACGTGACAGTCGTTTTCGTTACGAAAATTCAAGAGCACCAGGTCCTGCCGATTATGAAGTAAGACAAAAGCAACTGTGCGCTATTGAAACTCATATCTTGTTCTCTATAGTTATCACCACTTCTTCAAGATACGGTTCTTCGTGGTACGTTTAATACAACATTAAACAATCCTGTCCTGGCTAAATTACAAAGTCGTGCCTTACGTGAAGAGAAATTATCGACTACCAAGACGAAACCTATTGATAATATGGATGATCTCAAAGAAGTAGCTGTTCACACTTAAACCTAGAATTTCACTCGTTTTATTTTCTTTTTGTGTAAACATTGAATAAATGACGACAGATAATCTCGTGTTCCGCTCAATATCATGCATTGAAGAACGGTAGAATTCATCAATTTGAAAGAAAATAAAATATCAATATTCTCATTAATGCGTCATTCTTTTTTTATTTATTTGTATAGCGTATGTTTTTGTCAAGACGAATAGATTCACACATAAACATTGATGTATTACACGACTGAATGTAAAATACATAACTAAACGTGAACATAATCGAATTAGGCAAAAAAACAAGGAAAAACCAAAAGTCGTTGATCAGAACTAATGACTATATGTTCGATTTTCTTTTTATCATGGCAATAAAATAGACAAAAGGAAAATTCATCTGACTGGATTTGTTTCGCTTGAAGAAGAAGGACAAACAAAGCAGAGAAATATGCATAGTTTAATTAAGCCATTCCGATGGTGGTGGCGGTAAATTCGAGCATGGCGGTGGCAATGAACATTTACCATTTGGTCCCGGAGAGTAGACATCTGGTACACAGAAGGACAATACAGGCGAAGGATCTAAGCAAATCTTCCTTGATGTATTCTGCCGAGAAAAAAAAAGAAAGTTTAGTTTACCTTTTCTGTTCTTTTGAAAACTACTCGGCGATCGATATACCGGCAAGACACCTTTTGTTCGATGATGATTATCATGATGTTGATGATTACTATTATTCTCGTAGAGTTTCGATGACCAGAAAATGTACTGTTTAGTTTTAATTATTTGTCGATTATTGTAGATCGACTTCGGTTGGTATTGTGCTTGCCGGGTGTAAGCCATGGTTTCATAACATGCATCACGATGTCCGGAATACATCTTGAAAATGACAACAACAAATACATATGTATATATAATAAAAAAAAAGAAGATTGTAAAATACAGTTAATAATTTGTGTTCAATTTCTCGTCTAGGATGCTAAATGTTTAAAAAAATAGTTATATGAACAAAAGAAAAAAATCCAAAAAAAAAATTCATCACAGGGTCATCAACTCTTCAACAGGTGCCGCCGCTGAAGACGACGACGACGGTATCAAATTTGAAATGGTTATTGTAACTGGAACATTGGAATTAACTGATGATGAAGATAACACAGATGTGGCGCCTAAATCCGCATTGGTTGTTGTAATTGAATCTTGAATATCACTTCGAAACTGCGTCACATTTTGAGTGAAGTTCTCCTTATTCGTTTCGGTTAATGTACGGTCAATACCAGTCATTAAATTGTCCAATGCTGTTGATAGAATCGCTTGTTTCGCTTGGGTATGTCCGTATAACAATTGTTGTTTGATTTCAGTGAAAAATTTGTTTTCATTCAAGAGAATAAGACCAAGAAGAGGCTTGGAAATAGTATAAATATTTCTAAACACACAAGGAAATGCGGATCAACAAACTGGAGAAATCTTGCTCGACTTACTTGCATTCAGCGTATATGATTCCGTTCATTAAATTTACAAGTATCTGTCGAAATAGGCCTTCGTATTCACGAACATTCGCCATCAGATTCGTCGATGCCGTGTTCTTCTTGACTGAACGAAAAACATACGATAAAAATGTATCCAAATACACACAGCAAGAGTTTTGTATTGTTTGCTCATGTGAAACAAATCCTTCGCTGATGGTTTCCAACACGTAACCAAATAGTGGGATAGATAGATTTGCGAGGAAATCGATTTTGATGATAGATAAACTTTCGATCAAGGAAAAATAGGCGTTAGTGAGTTTAGGATAGGAGAATAAATCCGTTTTCTTAACCGATGTCAATAGCGCTATGAATACTTGTAAACAATTGTCAAAACATGGATCAGAATAGAGTTGAAATACACCAAAATTCACATAGTTACCTAAGGAAAGGAAACAGACATCTTTTTCTTTGAATCGATCCTAGGAAACTTACCAACTAAGCACGTTTGAATAATCTTTAAGCACGTTGTAATGGGTTTCAGCTTTGATTTGTAATATAAAGTTGCATCGGTTTCCGGCACGGTTGTATTCACATGTATAAGTGTTTTTGTTTGAAATATATAGAGTAAGTTCGATGTTTCACGAAATAACAGATAGGCACTTGCTTTTGTCGGATCGAATACTAGACGATCTTGTCGGTTCGCTGATAATTCATGGAAAAATTTTAACAGTGGATTGTACACTTCGAGGCGATCGCAGAAAACATAGAGAGCTTTGAGAAATAAGGGTAAATACGCGGGATACAGCCAATCGAAAAATGAATTGTAAGCTTGTTTGGAAAGTAGAGAACTACATAGACCACGCAAATCACGAGTAATACCGATGACAAGTGATTGAACTTCGTCTAGAGGCGCCAAGGTCGGACTGAAAAAGAAAAAAAAGTTTTATTTTGAAAGAAAGTTTGTAGAAGGTGATTTCGTACTTGAATTGATTCAATGCAGCAAATTGTCCAGGATTAATCAGAGAAAAATCAGGAAATTCTTTGAATATCTGCACTAATTTTGCATATTGAGCTGTGAATGGAATCATGAATGCTTCGGCACGATCGTCATCATCGTCATCGTAACGAAAATCGTGCATCAACATTCGGCCAATAGCGGTGTAGAATGTCGTTCGCAAACGTGACCAACTGCTGGCAGTAATTGTACTATTATGTGATCGTTTGCTTGTAAAGATTGGATGAAGAAATGGAAATAATTCTTGTGTGTGATTATTGATGAAATATTGTATTGGATCGAGTTTCACTAATTTACGTACACTTTGATATCCATGAGTCAATTCACTGAAACATCCAACAGTTCGTTCGATTAATTTATCTGATATAACTGAATATTGTAGATTAGTGAAGAGTTTTTTTACAAATATACATAACAATTGTTCTTCATCGGCAATACCTGAATAGAAGACATATGAATTTATCGAAATACTATAGCTAATGATGTCGAAAGCTTACCGAGATGTTTGAAAAGTACTTGATAGATCTTATCCGATCTTCCATGATCACCAACGTATTGTTTACGAAATTGATCGAAAAAGAAGAGGATAGCTAGTTCTAACCTTTCGGAATAAGGTGTGGAATCAATTTTATCTGTCGCTGTTGTTGTTATGGCTGTATTGATCGGCTTTAGATTACTTTCTTGCGAAGTTTTTTGTTGAATGTATGTCATCAATTGTAAAACACGTACAACGAGTTCACCATCGAATAAATCTTGATCATCATTTGACATCGATAAGGATGATAGGGTGATTCCACGTGCACCAAGAACACAACCGAGGACATAAATCAAAAAAGTAAATCGTCGTTCGACTGTTTCGGAATTTGCGGCCTAAACAAAAACGAAAGCATTTCAAATGACAAACTCCTCAGTTCCATTTACTTGTTGGTACTGTTGAGCGATGTCGTCGAAACAGTTGCAAAGGAGAACACATGTTTTATTATAATCTAATCTCGACATAATACTTATCATATCCAATTGTTGCTGCAAGATTGTTTGATCATTATCAAATAATTCCGTATAGAGTGTATCATCTGTATTCAGTGCATCTAAGCGTGATTGAATATAATAGGCAACGATCTGCGGAACATAAATGTCGAGTAAATGTAAGGTCGATGATTCATCGGAATCCGATAGTTTTGATATATGCGAAAGGAATGCCACTATTTTCGACCAGAATGATAGAATGTAATGAAGTGTATTGGGAGATAAATGATATTGCCGGTGATGATGAACACTTAGGAGATGATCGATGGTGAAACGAAATAATCGTTCCATGAAAAGTTGATAATTGTCGATGCGAACTAGTTCGTGTAATTGGGCATTGGATTTTAATCGAGCGATCAAGCGGCAAAATTCATGGAGAGACTTTTCATCGGCAAGAAGTCCACCAGGCTGTTCGAGAATGGAACGAATACCTAAAAGTCAAACATTCGACCTTAAGATATTCTATCAAATTCGTCTCTTTACCCAAAGTGAGTAAATTCAATACAATTAGGCGTTCATTGGTGTTCAACAACGATCGTCGTACGCTTGACAATTGGACAAGACATGATATCGCGATGGGTACGAGTGTCGTATTCGAGAACAGAAAGTAATACGAAAAATATAATTGATAAAAACTTCGATCGATTATATGATCATGCCAGGAGATCGGAACTTGCAAAGTTAAGTGTTCATCAGATATATCAACGTCCTGCACGCTCGAGCCAGTTCCTAAAAATAAATGAATTTTAAAGCAAAAAAAGGTATCTTCTAATGTGTATTTACCGAGAAAATCGTATGTCAAACAAGTCAACGCTAATGAAAGTAGTTTTTCCACCACTACGTAATAATTTGGTTGTAACTGGACGGTATGGATTGCTTTTGGATAATCGTCGAATTCAATCGACAGACCTAATGCTTTCTTTTGATTACTAATTACATCACGTAGATATTGACAAGCGAATAGATAGATACCAATTAATTTCGTGTCTCGGAATGAAATACAAATCTTTCGATGTTTGGTGAACGCTCGTGCTGTTGTTTCTTCATCATTGGGAACGCTCATTTCTGTGAGAATAGCAATAAGAATCTGTAGAGCAATCGAGAAATGTGGTGGATCCATTTGAAATTTCAATAGATCATCTGTGAATGTTTGAAACGGATAAGTCTCGTTATTGACTGTCGGATTCATGTCAAACCAGAAATTCTTCGTTAAACGTGCATATAATTTCACTAATTCGGCCAGGACAAATTGAGCTAGGGAACTGTTATGTTTGAACAAATAATCCAGAATATATGTGCGCAATTCATATCGTTCATTGAAAGGTATAACTGGTTGAGATGATATCGAATTGAAATGCTTGATAAGTGTTGAAGCACCGAAAAATTGAGTATACGGAGTTAAAGCACGATCAAGTAGGACGCGACATTGTGCAAGACAGTTTGGTTCGTTGACAAATGCTTCCAAGCGTTGAGATGCAAGTCGCATTTGCTCATTATTGCCACTACTATAGAATTGACCACATAAATGTTCAATTTCCAGAGCATCCATTTACGAACGACAAAAGTACGACAAGCAAGTGATTGACACAATTCTTTCCTTCTTCGATCGAAAACGAAAAAAAAGAGAAATGGTATTGGATCAAGTAAGATAATCTGTTTAACAGCCAATGGTAGTCGAAAAATGACTTTTGGAAAGGGGAAAAACAACTGTGTTTTGTTTGTTATAAATTCGTTTCGGAGAAAATAAATTTACCGACAAAAACTTATTGGAGTCGGTTAAATCTCAAAAGTTACGAAAGATGTCGCTAGCAGATACACATACGAGCATTTCAACATGTGTAAAAGTAGTCTTTGAACAAAAAACTGTTAATTTCAATCATGAGATATTCAGGATGATGATTTTTCCTAATGAAATCATGTCCTGTTCATTCAGCAAGTTTGGATAAACAAAGACTTGCAAATGACGCGTCGGTATGTGCTCGCAAGGGCACATTTTAACAATTTCCCTTTGCCTCCTTTTCAATAGAAACGCGCTCTTGAACGCACGAGAACGTCGCTTTTCCATGTTTGTCTATCGGAGAAGAAACGAAGCGATAATGAAATGTTTTTTCCCATTAAGCATAGTATTTTACTCTAGGATTCTATTTATATTAAAGAGAAAAAAAAGCGAATTTATCTAGGTTGTTTACGTCAATAATTAAAGTAAGTTAATGGGTCATCTAAAGGAAAAGAGAAAGCGTCGGTATTAATCACTAATAACAAGAATAAATACCTTCAGTAAATACACATGTAGCAGTATTATGCTTAATTATTTCGTGCAAGGCATAGAAATCGCATTTATCTTGATTTTTATGACGATGGATGCGAATATGAATGTATAAATCATCTCCAATCGAAACTTTCAAGAAACAATTGATACCATAAGCGACTTCTTCTTCAGCATATTTTGTTACTCTAAAAATACATTCATTCATCTTGTTCCGTCAATTGATAACATCATACTTCCAATTAGCGATGTGTTTTTCCCGATGTTCTTCAGTAAACCGATGAACCCGATGCTCATGATGTTTTCTATAGAGCGCATCAATTGCGGGATAGATTATTTCCGGACGTTCACTAGTTAAATAAGAAGAACATACATATAGATCATATGAATGCTGGAGGAAGAAACCTTAGTTTTTGAATATCCGCTGTCGCATCCTAAAACGATAAATTCATTACTTGATCTTTTTCTTTTTGTTTCAAATAAACAAACTAGAATGGGACCCATGGAATTGTGCTGTTCATCCGACATTGTTATTGGCAAAGATGTCAAGCCCGAAATGTTTCTATTCTGTTCTATTCTTTTCTGAAACGAAGGCTACACGATTCTTCGACAAGCGCAGCCACAAAGAAAAAAAAGAGATCGAGCGAAGTGCAGCTGCCGATTAATACATTCGCTCCAAGAAAGTAACCATTCGGGTTTTCTCTTCTTCTCTCGTTGCCTTGGATTACACAACTTCTGTGTGAACTAGAATTTAATAATGGTAATCAGATGAAGCAATTTAGAGGTTTTTCTCAGGCAATGTTGATGATACAAAGAGTTTCGCTAGACTTTCCATGAATATATATTTGATGATTGATGATTCCAGTCTTTTGTACCAAGAAGAATAGGCACCAGAAATCAAATGTATATGACCATATTGCATGTCAAGATTCAGATCAATGCATACATTACTTGTTTGTGTTCTTCAAGGAAAAAGTCGAATTATTCGATGAAGATAATGTGTGTATTGAATAGATAATCACAAATATGGATGAAACTCTCACGTGCTCTGCTTATTTTTGCTTCCGAGCAAGAAAAAAAGCGATAGGGAGTCAAAGTACCGCTTTCGCCACCTTTGATCATCACATGCACGGTGTTTTTGAGTATATCAAGTATTGTGACGCTAACTATCAGCCAACCTTTTTCCAAAAGTCATACCATATTACGCGTTAACCATCATCGTAGTGTCATCATACAGGAATTTACTGTGGATAAAACTGAACCTCCACCTTTCAATACTTGATACTATGAAATATCACCTGGAGGTGGAACTTTACTTTCTTCAACAGTAGATCAACAGATTCTAAATCACAAGCCCATTGCTTGGTTGATTGTATAATTCCGGTAGTGCACTCGCTGTGGCAATATCACTCTTTAATTCGATGTGTTGTTTATTCCCAGGATTTTAAAGATCGGCCAAGCAGCAGTCATCATCAATAAATGAATCACCTTGTTTAAGAACACGAAATACTTCTGCACAGTATTTTGCCTGGAAAAAGTTTTTTCGTAACATCATCGAGGTTTTCTTCGAAGAATACTTACATTATTTGGTAAACGGCATACAACCTTGATAACATAGACATGGTCGAAGGTACTATCTGAAAATGGTAATTCCATGAAACCGCCATGAATAAATGAATAATTTGCCGGTACACCTAAACAAAACATTTTAATTCATACCATACGATCTACTATGATATACCGATAGTTTTTGCTCGTTGAATTTGACGTTCAAAAATGAATATACCCGTGATGCATGCCTTAGTTCAGTACGCACTGATCACAAGGCCCTTCAATCCCACAATCTATGCCAAGAATTTAATCACCTGTGTTTTAGCTTGCATTTTCAATGCTAAGTAAGATTGATGACGTTGCAATGGTTCAGCCAAGGTTTCACATTGATGCCGATTAGCGAAGTGAAAGCTTCGGTCTCATTCGTACTCGAAGTAATCAGTTACTAGATTGTAGAATTTTGCAACGAGATGTTTATGTTGTTCTTCGCTAGCTGCTTCTTTTGTACGGTGAATGATCGTCTTTTCTACTATAGTTCATTCAATGGGTGTAAAGTTATAGGTACAGAAAGAAATAGCGTGATCGTATATTGTAACTTTTTCGTCCTACATGTCGCAGATGACGCTGAAAAACCATTGGATGGATAGTACGGAAATTAAATGATCAAATCTGATCAATGGAGTGAGATCAACCAAAGCTTACAACTATTTTTCACGCGATCCGTCTTCCGGATCTTTCTTTTTACATTTAACAGCAAATAGTAAGTATTTCCAACGTTCTTTTAAACCCTTGACTACTAATTGACAATCAACTACATATCTTTTCTTTCTTCGGGTGAATCACAAGTAATTCAATATCTATGAAATTCATTGATTATTTGTATCGAAAACCTTCATCTTTCCAATACCATCCATGGTAAGACCACAAATTCACTCGATAGCAACCCCACTATCTTCCAATTAAACTTCTCGACCGAATGTATCAGTCCTTTTTGACACCTTGCCGAACTTATACAGTAAAAAAGGTTGACCTCGAATCACTTGCGTCGGAACAGTAGTGAAGCTGAACATATTCTTCAATAAAACAACACTGATCGGTGTGAAGCTAGCACCATCGAGCTAGCACCATCAAAATAAGGATTTTCTGAAAACGAATTCCGGTCGATAAAACCGAGTGTATTCGATGCAGAATTTAATTCTGAGTCCAATGGTGACATTTTTATTCACCGGAAAACGTTCGGAGAAAAATTTTCTTTNAAATTCAACATAACTGTGCGATTTACAGGACATTTGCTATTACTCTTTTCAATTTAAAGAGCTGATTATCTGCAGGACTTATTCTCGAAGCTCGAAAGACATCAGTAATATTCGTTAAAAAATCATTGACATCAACTGAGACTCTTACAAATCTCATCTCTCAAGTAGTTTTTGAAACAAACGTCTAGTCGTTCGTCGACCTCCCTCCTGTCGGTCACTCGCGACTAGTCCTTGCGACGCTACCTTTGTTATGCCTTTCACATTTGATTAACTTTTAAACTGAATAACTGTGCTTCCTTTCATTGTGGCTTCGAAAGTGCTGATCTTCCATGTATTTTATCCCGAAAAGAAAATAGATCAAAGTTTTATTTTATTATTTGCTGTGAAAAGACAACACGCGTCATAATGCACCCTATGTTTAGAATACTATTTGTATAGCCCATGTCTTTGTAGTTAATCAGATGGAATTGCACTTACGGGTATATCACTCTGGCACATATTTCCACTAAATTCCTATTGGAAGACTAGACGTATCGCAGCCTAGAAGACAGAAATGGTATTAAGCTTATACCACTGTTTATGATTTCTTGGACTAGAAATATCATGATGTATGGTATATTAAATCTTCTTCTGTAAACTCCTAAACTACTCTATTGGTTCACATCACATCCAGCAGTAGCGTTGAAACCACTACCTTCTACAAAAGATTTTAGGACTATAGAGAAAAATATCTCTTCTGAAAAAAAAAGAAAGAAGCCGAAGGTTCGTGACAAAGAAAAAACTAACGTCATATTTGAAATATTCGACCTCGATGTCCTTCGGTCTACCCTTACTTAATTAGTCAATTAGCAAATTAGCTAATTAGAATTTTCTGAAACTGACATCAGATTCGAGATCCTCGACCTCGATTACCTTTCGGTCAACCCTTACTTGACAGCGAAATTAATTTTCATTACTTAATTAGTTAATTAGAATTTTAAGAAACTAACATCAGATTCGAAATCCTCGACTCCAATTACCTTCCATCAATCGTTTTCTAATAAGTATGGATAGGTTTTCATTGATTTATAAAATGCTGCAATCTGATTGGATTATGCAAACAAACTTTTAGCATTTTAACGACCGTATTTTATACGCTATAACTCTTTTTGTTGCAGAAAAGAGAATTAGA